CCTGGCGGCCGCGGGAGTTGCCAGATGGTCCATTATCTCGGGCGGGCAGGTGCGCGGGCGGATGGATGGACAGACGGACGGGCGGGCAGGCGGGGCCTTCAGAGTCATTTAGAAAATGTCACCGGGACAAGGGCCCTGTCACTTCTGATTGGAATGAACTCCATCAGACCCGGCCGCCGACCTGACCTGGGGTCGGGAATTAATGCCGGGTTCAGGGTCAGGCGGGTCGCGGGGTTCGGAGCGGCCCCACCACTGGGGACGCATTTGCCAGCGGTATAAAGACGCCCCCTCGTCCTGCAGAACCCCCAGCCCGTCCTGGTGTCCGATGGGGACAGAGGTGACCTTGCTGGGGGCCGGCGGTGTCTAACGGGCGGTGATGTGGGCGGGATTTGGACAAGACGTTCTCCCAGGGCCTTTTCCCATCCCCCGCCCAGGAAGCTGGGTGCACCGGGCTCGTGGGACACGGGACACGGAGAGGGGGGGCAAACCGTGAGGAGGGGAACGCCGCCAGGCGCTGAGCCCTGACTGGGTGTGCTCAGTGGTTAGAGCGTGGGCCCTCGCACCAAAGGGTCGCAGGTTCGAGTCCCAGTCAAAGGCCCATACCGGGGTTGCAGGTTGGATCCCCCACCCTCTGTCCCTCCCTCACTTCCTTCCCCTCTCTATAAAAATGGGGAGAGAAAAAACATCCTTGAGTGAGAATTCACACTCACACACACACATACACACACACAGAAAACAAAAAACACCACCATTGAGCCCTGGCCAGTGTGCTCAGTGGTTAGAGTGCTGGCCCGCGCATCTAAGGGCCACGGGTTCGATTCCCAGTCAAGGGTACGTGTCTAGGTTGCAGGTTGGATCCCCCCACCCCAGTCGGGGAGCACACAGGAGGCAGCCCATCCATGCCTTTCTCTCACATCGATATTTCTCTCTCTCTCTCTCTCTCTCTCCCTCTCCCTCTGCATCCAGATGTGAAAAGCCTGGAGAACCTGCAGCTGGTGGAGGGGGTGCAGGAGCAGGTGCACGCGGCGCTGCTGGACTACACGGTGTGCCACTACCCGCAGCAGGTGGAGAAGTTCGGCCAGCTGCTGCTGCGGCTGCCGGAGATCCGGGCGCTCAGCCTGCAGGCCGAGGAGTACCTGTACTACAAGCACCTCAACGGCGACGTGCCCTACAACAACCTGCTCATCGAGATGCTGCACGCCAAGCGGGCCTGAGCGCGGCCTGGGGGTGCGGCCGGGGCC